AATATAAATGCAATGATAATTTGCATTACTGAAAATATTTTTATTCTGTCCTATACTTGAATACTATATTTTCTTTGGATAAAATTTTCAGTTTGAAATTATATTCCCTCAAAATTTTGAAAGTTTTGTTACTACGTCTTCTAGTTTTGTTACCCCTGAATATTCTGCCCTCTGTTTTCTGATATTTTGTAGACTGGGTTTTATATTTCCTTTCATGAAATTCTTGACCTTTTCTTTTCATATTCCTGGTGTTCTGAAATTTCATAATAATGTGATCTGAGGTAGGTCTTGATGCATTTATTTGGTAAACATTTAGTTGGTCTTTTCAACCTACAAACTCATGTATTTAGGGACTTACTTTTTTAAAAATAATTTCTTTAATAACTTTATTTTCTCCATTTTCTTTGTATTATTTTCGTGGCCTTTCAGACATTAAGAAAATTAAAGAAGCAGTCCAGTCCAAGAAAAGCAGTGTCCAAATAAGGGGAGTTTTAAAGTGACTTGCTTAAGGCCACACAACTGAAAGGTGGCAGGGGCTTCGTTTAGGCATGTCTACTTGATTGCGAATCTGTTTTCTTCCCTATTGTGTATTTAGTAGAAATTGGTTATCCTAGTGAAATACACACAAATAATGTTTATCTATATCAAATACTGTGTTATGTTACTAATATACATACTATATCTATTTAAAAGAAAAACTTCAGCAGGAGATAATATAGCGTATAGTTTCTAAAGTAATGTTGTTGTTTGAAGCTTTATTAGGCTCTTTAATATAATCAGACCAAACTGATCACTTTACACTATAAAAGAAGAAAAATAATTTGGATCTCACAGACTTATGTTTACAGAAAGTCTCTCTAAGAAATAGTAAATTTTATCTTTGGTACTATATGGAGATTGGGATTCTTATATTTTCTTCTGATTCAAGTCATAGTCATCTAACCAGATCTCTTATACTAGCTTGTCACTATGAATTATTTTTTAAAAATTAATTAATAAATTAATAGAGAAAGGATCTCACTTTGTTGTCCAGGCTGGTCTTGAACTCCTAGCCTCAAGAGATCCTTCTACCTTGACTATGAATTCTTAAAGCTACAGCATATATAGCTGAAGTGCTAGTTGCTGCATTATTTTTTTTTAAACTGACTTGCACCCCTAAAAAAGAAAGAGTAACAGTGTTAGAAGCTCAGAGGAGAGAGAAAGAGAAAGTGGCATCAAACAAAAGATTTTGATTTTGTATTCATGAAAATTAAGTCCTATATTTATACAATGGCTCAGTAGCTTTTAACAATCTTTAATTTTCACATTCCTCAAGAACTACAACGTCTTGAACTTTCTCCTTGATTACATGGTTTGGAACAAATCCTGAAACAACTCCCTCGAATGGTTTTATGACTGGAAAGATCTTTCTCCTTTTCTGGGTGTGTTGCTTTGTTTTGTTTTTGAGATACCATCTCACTCTATCACCCAGGCTAGAGTACAGTGGCTCAATTGCGGCTCACTGCAGCCTGTACCTTCCAGACTCAAGCGATCCTTCCCCCTCAGCCTCCCGAGTAGCTGGGACTAAAGTTGCATGCCACTGTGCTTGGCTGATTTTTTAAAAATTTTTTGTAAAGATGAGGTCTCACTATGTTGCCCAGGCTGACCTCGAACTCCTGGGCTCAAGCAGTCTTCCCGCCTCAACCTCCTAAAGTGCTGGGATTATAGGCGTGAGCCAGTATACCCAGCCTCTTTTTTAAAAAATTAGAAATAAAGTAATCAAAAGCTTTTTTCTAAAGCATCATAGTTTTAAAATATTTTAAGAAATAGACGATATTTCAAATTGATATTGGAGCACAGTGTACACAGGCCTTTGGGAAGGTAAATTTTCCTGTGAAGTGCCTTTGAGAAGGTGCATTTTACTGCTACTGATTTTGGAAAGCAGGATATTGGAGTCTGACGTGTATAAAGGTTGTTTTTTCCTGGATTTTTATTCATGTAATATTCCCTGAACAAGCACCACACTTTTATATTGAATAAAAGGTACTTTAAGGAGCCCTTTAAAATATATTAATATGTCCTTTGTATTTATTAATCTTAATAAATTTACAAGCAAAAAACAAGAAAATATCCTGCTTTCTTTTTAGATCCGTATACATTATTGATATTCAAGGCAAAACATGGAAATAGAATCGGGTTTCCTTTCAGTGTTATACATCATGGCATACATATTATGGAAATGATGTTTAAAGTGAGCTATAAAGGTTATACTGTGTTTTTCTTGGTTAATGAATCCTATGCCTGTATTTCTTTTGAACATTTAGAGAATATTTATGTGAAAGATCCTTTACATAATTAGGTTATTTCTAGTTTCTTAGGAGTAATTTCCTATGTTTGCTGTGGTCACTGACTGGTGGCCACTCTGTTAAAGGTGGGCAAGTGTATTTAGTGAAATTCGTCAGTAGCCTAGCTTCATTGAGGAGTTATACAAGAATGCTCTAAGTGTCCTGATAAATTATGGATACATTGAGGCTATTTTTTTGATTGTGACTACCAACGCCCTATGGAGTTTGCTCATTATAGCACAGGTAGGAGAATGTAGGCCTTATTTTTCTCTAGTGATTTTTGTAGCCTAAGTGGATCTCACTTCCTGCTATAATCCTGGGTGAGTCAACAGAGTTATTCCTGTCTTTGTATACAGATTATGTTGTATTATTCCTAGTTAACTGCTTCATCTAGGAAGCTCAGTTTTAGTTCCCTGTAATGCAGCAAACTCTAAACCTCAGCTTTAAGGTAAAGTATTTGCCCAGTGGAATTAGGTTTAATTACTACTCTTCATTTTGGCTTTAAGTATGTTTCCTCATCATTTCTGGCACCTGAAAACTTCTCTTTTTTACTCTAAAATTTAGTGATGTTGTTTTAAAATTTGTCTTTTTTAAACTTACGATTACATCAAATTCTGTATGTTTACAGAAAGAGGGAGTAACTTCTGTATCTGTGCATTTTGACTGAAGTCATAGTTGCTTGCCTTTACAGAATTAACATAATTGAGAATGTTTCCCTAAATCCTTGTTCATCTGTGTAGAAATTGACTTAAGATAGGTACTCAGATCTGTTTATATGCTATATATAAATTGCATTTTCTAGTAGTTGCATACTCATAACTATATGTATAACTATCCAATTTATTGATCTTATATCTTCATTAATTAGAATACTAGGCAAAGTAAGACAAACATGCATATTAGAATTGAAAACATGCAAGGACGGGAATCATATAAGCATAAAATATGAAGCTCCTAGTTGTGAAATCATTTAATTGCTTAGACTAGGTGAAATTGATGAAATTACTATTTTATGCAGTCTATTCTGTACCTTAAATTTATTACGTTGGAAGAATTATATACAAATATGAATCATCTTTTATTATGTTTAACTTACAGCATTGCTTTATAGTTTTGGATTTTACTAGCAAGAACTATATCTGTGAACTTAAACATTATATTTAAAAAAGAAAGAACAATAACTCGTATGTGTGATAATCAGCTTTGACAACTTGTTCTGGGAAATAGAAAAGTAAACTGGTGCGACTCAACTCAAATACAAGGTTCTCTGCCCTATTACAGACACTGAAAATCCCTAGAAACAGAAACATGAGTAAAAATTACCTAGTACTTTAAGAAATATGCCCTGGGATAGATACTTAGTGTATTTATAGATTTTTTTAAAAGTAGGCCATTTCTTTTGATAGTGACTGTAATGATTAAATAAAACATTTCAAGAAATGTGACCAGTTTTTACCCAAGAGAAAACAGAATATTCTGTTGCTTTTGTATATGAAGTCAACTTGCAACATTTTTCTAGTGCAAGTGAAAGCAGAGGATCTTACCGTAATGTTAACCTCTTTGACTGCTAAAGTGAGGGCCAAATAGTAGTTTCTAAAAACTAAAAAAAATACAAATTGCATATATTGTCTAATTTTGAATTATCTGACTCTTTTTTTTGCAATATAAGCTTTCAATGCTTTTTTCCTACTTTTTATTTAGTGTAAATAAGTTATTGAATTAACTTGTTTAACAACATATTAAGATCATTTTGTTTAAATATAAGACTTGTATAATTTTTGAACTTTTATCTGATTTAAGTAACCTGTACATACATAAAATGATTTTTATATTACATTTAAAACTGCATAGCTATGAAGATAATGTGTTCTAGGTATTATATGGCCAATTCTCAAGTCCACTTTTAAAATACATAAAAAAGTCATTATTTTGATTTGAAATGGAATATTTATTAAATTCTAACATAGTAACAATTATAACTTTGAAAGTATCTAACCTATCTACATAGGTTGTATTTAAATGATGCTGATTTAAATTTTTCAAGCTATCAATTAAATGGTAACCCTTATGTTAAATGGTGTAACTTAAGTATTTTTAATGTACTAATTGAGATATTATAAAGGTTAGTAAGTACTTCGATATTTTATGGTAGCCCTTTCACAAGATTATTTTCTAATTTTTTAAATTTTAGGAGAGTCTAGTAAACAACAATGAAGCAATTAAGACCATTATAGCAAATTATCTCAGATTTTTAAGGTTATATGTATGTGTCAAATTCGGGTATAAGCTGCTTTTCAGAGTTAACTATAAAAATGTTCTCTGAAGTAAGCACATTCATAGTGTCTATAAAAGAAATAATTTTAGATTTGTTTTTACATCTGACTTTCTAGTATTTCTAAAATGAGAGCTTACTTTTTAAAAGACTTAAAAATTTTTTCTTTTCTCTGAAGTTGATTTTTATTACAGTAGTCTATTTTCAAGAGCTTTATACCCAGATCCCAGTCAGCATGTCAGTAATATATGTGAACAAATCAGCTACCGGTACCCCTGTCCAAATCTGAGTAAAACAAGTAACCCTCATTATTTGTTGAGCGATTTTTAAATGTACCAGTATAACCAGATTTCAGTCTATGGATACCTCATATTAAAAGGTACAAAAAAGAGTCGTTTATTTACCTTTCTGTCTTCTTCCTTTTGTTGGTTTTCCACCTGCCGTGTTGGAGTCCTGCCTTTGAGAGAAAATCTGAACATCTCATGTAATGTTTTGAGCAAATTATCTAAATCTCTATCTTATAGGGCACAGGCTAATTTCTGTATAGTTTTCATGTTGTTAATTGAGAGCCAAATAATGAAGTCAAATAAGAGATAAAGTTGTACTTTTGCTGTTAATAGCAAGTGAAAATAGATTGCTTACTTCACACCTGGAGAATCCGGTTCTGCCTGTTAGATGCCTGTTCTTTAGATTAAAGGAAGATCATTTTCATTGGAGCTAGTTGGTAACAGGAAGTCCTCGTTAAACTGCCTACGTAGAGTATTTGGCATTGGATCTGCAAATTTAGTCGTACGTTATATATGTAATATATTATTCTAAGAAAAAGGATTTGTATTTAAACAAAGGTTACTTTCTTTTCTATAGATATCAAAACTTGCTAAAAATATAGAATTAAATAGGAATGAAAAGAAGCTTGGTGTAAAGGCTTTTTTTATTCCATTTACTTTAACATGGTTGAAATCTGTCCTATTTTAGGAAGTCCCATAAGAGCTTAGCTCATAAAATCATAGAATTTCAGAAGGGAAACATCCAGGAAAGAGCTCATGTCTGTAAAGCATTCATCCCACTTTACTTTTAATTTTTTTTTTTTTTTTTTTTACTTTTTATTATGCCTGCTGTTTTTATTTTAAAATAAATTTTATATAGAACTAAAGTTATCCAGCAATATATGTTAAATCATTTATTTTGTCAATATAACAACTCAAAATTAATTTATACCAGAGGGAAATGTTTATAGGAAGAATTAGAAATGAAAATCTCTCTTGTACTACCAAATTTCAGACCCATTTTTTCTACCTGACTTGTTACTGTTTGAAGGCAAGAAGGTCATTGCTGTATCTATCAAAATCATT